AGAGGCAGTACTCAGTGTTAGGTTATGTCGTGGTTTCAGCTGGCACAGGGCGGAATACATCAGTGTACTCCTGGGCATACTGCAACGAAACTTCGCGTTCCGTAAAAGACAGGAAATATGTTGGCCAATTTCTCAAGAAGGACTCTGTTCCACGAGGAGAGTTCAGGTGCTTTGCGCGGTCACCCAGGCAATACATATATCCACTGACTACAAACACCAGATGTAATGATGTTCACGGTTGCAATCACCTGGAATGTGACGCCGTGCAGTCTGGTAGATATGAACCAACGTTTCGGAGGAATGTGCTACGTACATCTTCCGGGACGAACCTGAAACGCTAGTACCTATTATCCATACTGTACGGTGTCACATTCTGGAGACAGAAATATTAATATTTTCAGCCGTGAGAGCTTCAGATGTCACGCATCAACGTTGCTGCTGCGTCACCCGTAGCCACGACTGTCTCCAAGGGCCCCTGGGGTTCCCGCCCCAGCAAGCTGAACCGAGCCAACTGGCCCTGTCCCTAAGTTCCCGGGGAAGTACTGTACCTTGAAACGGGCCATGAGCGCTTCCTTCTCAGTTCAGACCGTGATCATCCGCGCTGAGAGGAGCTACCCACTGTAAAATCGTTCGGCCGCTCAAGTAGGAGAGACGCTTTTTTGAATTGTTTCATTTTGGTCCGTTACACTATCAATCACCAACTACCAATAGAACCTCCGTCGAGTGTAACAATATATATTCTTGTCACCATTTCCTCACATTTGCCTTACATGTTGTTGTGTAGATGTTGTTGTGTTTTACGCTCCGATACGTGTAACATCTTCCATAAAAAACTGTATATTGTGATTGTTGAGCAGTGCAAGTGTTTCCATATTTTTGTTGTGGATGCCTCTGATGATGGCTCTTTGTGAGCCGAAACATGTAAGGCAAATGTGAGGAAATGGTGACAAGAATATATATTGTTACACTCGACGGAAGTTCTATTGGTAGTTGGTAGGAGAGACGCTTTTCGCGTCACTGTGCCAACACAGATTCAGTGTTCTGGTACAGTTGGTACTGGTAATGGTACTCTTGGTTGGTCGAGATCTCTACCAGTCCGAACCTGTAAGACACGAGTTGACTCGAGAATCTCTGTTTCTACCGCCTTGGCGGCCGAACGACTGTTGTGGGCAATTCTCAAATGATCACACCCTATAAATTCGATAACTTTGATCTACGAGTATGTTGGACCGATATGAACAAAACCTATTTTGCAAGATAATTTATATAATATAAAATCTTATATATCTTCTGGGATATAACAATTGTACTTCTGTGAAAGTTAATCGATGTTTCGGAAAAACATATCGCCTCCATCTTCAAGGTCGTACAGTAAGTCGAGCAAGAAATTGCCACTTCATGCCTGCTTCATGCTGATTTATTGTTTGGATTACTCTCTGACCCTGAACATGGAACCGATATATTCCTCCGAAACGTCCGTTAAATTTCACGGAACTATAACACGGCGTTATATATCAGAAGGCAGAAACCTTCTTACAATCTAGATCTCCAGGATTAAATCAAAATAAAATCCAGTAGTTAAATAGTTTTGGACTTGTAACATGCGTACAAATATTATGTTTTTGCACATGATCCATCGTCTTGTCTCTGTCTAAAAACCGTTCTGTTTAGTCTTCAAAACACAAAGTTTCGGAGATAGGGACTAGCTATCTCGATGGGGCCCAACTGAGTAGGTTTTACCTGAACTCGGAGACAGAATCGTCTCCGAAACGTTGTTTAGAAAAGTAAACACGACGGTTTTTAGATGGATAACGTGCAAAAACAATACTCGAACCAATGTACCGTCGTCACAAACTTTTAGATCTTATTTGCATAACATGTGGACGGACGGCCCCGATATCCGTACACTGAACGCAGCAGAAAGAATGGATAAAATTGTTGTAGCTAGTTTTTGCCAGTGACGTTCCTCTGCTGGATGCCCGAGTGTGCCAGTGCGCGTTACACTGGAATTTATTTGTCGGTCTCGTGAGTTGCTCCAAAATACTTTTGGCAGTCTGTCGGGATAGTTCAATGTGATCTGCCAAATGTTAGGAGTATCAGCTTCTCGAGAACTCTGCTCCACGCAGTTCAGTTTGTTTAATCACTGACTTAGTTTATATGTAAGGGCCGCGCCACAGCTCAAGCGGTTAGTCGCTGGCTTCCCACCGCGGCGAGCCGGATTCGATCCCGGGTCTGGTCAAGTGGGATTTGTGGTGGACAAAGTGGCGCTGGGGCAGGTTTTCTCCGAGTACTTCCGTTTCCCTTACCCCTCGGTTCCCCTTGCCAATCTTCATTCCACCAACTGCTCCACGATCACCCTCACCTATCATCTGGGGCTGGTACAATAGGCCAGAAGTGGCCGCAGTACAAGGGACTTAGCCCCACCCCACTAGCAATACAAAGAAAAAGTTTATATTTAACGATAACGTTAAGGCAAGCTCTCTCGTTGCTTGGTGTGAGCTGCATTTCCACAAATCTCACAGGGTAATTCTCTGAACTTGAGAAACTGTCGTAGAACGGGCTGAACTGCGTGACGCGCAATGTTACTCGGTACTACTCCGTGGCCTGTAGTCAGCAAGGGAACTATACCGACCAAGCGACCGCTGCTTGTCGGCGAAGTTAGTAGCAATTTTGCGGATAGAGGGGTGTCACATGGTCAGCGCTACGGATCCCTACAGCCATTATTCTCGGTTTTCTAGACCTGAGCCGCTTTTCCTCGAAATAGCTCCTCAATTATCCTCACGAGGCTGAGTGGAGCCCGTTCCAGACCCACTACTTCTTAGAAAGTCTGGTAGCGACGGGAATCGAACCCGGGACCTCTGGATCTGTAGCCAGGAACTCTGACCACAGAGGCGTTCCGGTAAGGCAGTACATTCCCCGAAATTTCATCACCGTATTCACAAAAGCTCGCGAACTTAACCTTATCCTGGTCGAAAAATTTGTTTCCATATGCTCACTCTCCATTTCTCAAAGATCCATTATGATATCCTGCAATTTAACCCCAGGTTTCCAAAGTGATCTCTTCCATTCACCGTTCCTGACTCAGTAGGCTAGAGCAGCGGTAATGCTGCCATCCAGAGGTGCTGGGCTCGAATCTCGGCCGTTACACCGGCTATCATGAGGTCTTTCGCGGTCCTCCAGGCAACTGCTGGGATCAGCTACGACCGTTTCCTTCCGAATCCTATTCAATTCATTATCCATCAATCATCCTACCACTCGACTTTATATATTTTTAAATACTGGCAGCATCGTAAATCATAAAAATGACACAGTGCGTTTAAGAATTAATAACAGTTTCCACAGAATGGTCTTGAATGATCAACTCAATAAAGATGAGATGAGCAGATCATGTAGCACGAATTGGGGAGAAGAGGAATGCATATAGGATATTGGGGGGAGGGGAAAGCCATAAAGGGAGAGACCACTGGGAAGACCAAGACGTAGGTGGGTGAATATTAAAATGGATCTTTGACAGATAGGATGCGGTGGTATGGACTGAATTGATCTGGCTCAGAATAAGGACAAGAGGGGGTCCTCTTGTGAACACGGTAATGAACGTTCGGGTTCCATGAAATGTCTTGAGTAGCTGCACAACTAACGGCTTCTCAAGAAGGGCTCAGCTCGTGAAGTTAGTTATCACAAAATGGTCGGCCCTTTAAAAGGAAATGGTTACTGCACCGCCTGATTTAACATTAAGAACGTCTATATTTTGACCACAGTCCGATTGTTTACTTATAACAAGTTAACCTGTTGATCTTCGCAGCTGAATGAACTGCATTTTCAGCGAGCCAATAACTGAATTTTTAAGTATTAATCAGGGTCAAATACTATTTATTCTTCGTTTGGCTGCTGCTATGACTCATCGTTGGGGAGAATACGCAGTGCAAATTCCTGGAAAACACAGCGTCCAAGAAAATATTCAGACATTAATCATAAAAAACATGATTGCTATCTTGGTACCGAAATGGAGATTACGATGATCTGGATATGTAACACGGATAGGTAAGATAGGAGGATAATACGAAGTTTTGCTGAGGAAGCCTCTTGCAAAACAGAGAGGTCGGATCGAAGGGAAGGTTGATATATCAACTTACGAAAGCACACAATGGCGGATTTTGATGTTTAGGAAAAGAAACCAAATATATATAATCCAGGGACGCACGCTCATACACACGCAGATTTTTAAGCAATATAATTCTCACAGCACGAAACTGTGTTTCACATCCATACAGAAATTGCCACTATAAATCCAGTGTTCCCAGTATCAGTCACTGGCTACGTTGTGGCTGTGTGCAAAGGGCACATTATCAAGATTATTTCTTGTAATTGGCCATCTACACTATCTAAAGACACATAAGATAGCTGACGAGTTAAAATGCGTCTGATACGGAATTTATGCTTTGTTGTGATAAATAAATGTAGTTATTTAAACAGAAATGTTGCATATTTTACTCTTAAATTAAAAAAACAGCGTACGAATACTAAGGGTAAATAATTCTCCCTTTTTCAAATCCGTCATATGGTAATATTTTTAGTTACGTTCATAATTACGCAGCGTCTAGTGAAACGAAAACAAAATCGCCAAAAACATTCCCTCCTTGCCTCCCGAGCGCGAAGTGCTAACTCAAGGAAGGACGAATGGCCCGATTGAAAGAGGATGGGTATACATAGACGGTAGGGGAGCCCCGGGGGCTGAGGGGGCAGGCGGGGAGGGTCACACATTCCACCAGTGGCTCGCCTACGGTCTCACTCCCTTCCTTCCACCCCCCTCAACACACAAGGAATTGGTTTTCTTCTTCCCTCGCCCCGCTCCAAAAAAAAAAGAACTAGGATTTCCCTTCTTTCTACAGCAAGCCTCTCGATGGAAACTCAACATGGGAGGACATATGCTACACACAACACACGTTAGCATTCATATATGACCCTGAGGTCTCAGTACGGTGAGCCATAGGTCTACTTACTCTTTGTAGGGGAGATTCCTTGTCCTTTACGCCGTGGCATGTTCTGGTGTGACGTCACGCCTTTAAGAATATCGTAACACAGAAGAAAAAAAGAACGAGTTGAACACAATGTCGCTCTTCCGGTAATGTATACGATAACAGATAGCACTCAACACCAAATGAAAACACCACCTCCTCCCCCCCACCACCTCCACCCTTGCAGATCACACTGGTTCACTCTCACTTATTCAACATGATGTTGATATAGGGTTTCCCCACGGTTTACACGGTTCACATACACCTTACACTGCACCTTGACTCACCTTCTTGCACACACAATCATGCCGAACAGACTACATTCGCAGCAGACTGCGCTTGACTGCTTGCTTGGGATATTCCTTCGGTTTCTCTTCCACACACTTCGCAATCCGCCACACAGTTACCTCTCTCCCCGCCTCTCTCCTAGCCCAATCGTTTGTTTCCGTCCTGTATACGTTCTCTCTGTGTGAACATCGTCCTTCGTACTCTTCACAATGACGTCAGAGATCCAGCAGCAGCAACTTGACACCCCAGTGGCCCCTGAGGCAGCAACAGGCGTGACAATCCATCGCAAACGCCATCTTGTGAGCAGATCTGGAACCCGTTGCTAGGAGTTACAGCATCCGATTTTGCTCCTCGTCGGACTGTTTCTTTCAGGGTAGTTACTTTTAAGTTTTGTTATCAAATCCTTGTCAAAAATATTTACTTGTAAGCCTGTGTCATTTATTGCGTCAAGCAAATGCGTGTGAAGCAGGTTGATTTTGCCACGCAGATGCGTATCAAGAATGCTCTAACCTTTCTAAAAATAATTTTGTTAAAAATACCTGTTAAATTATCTCCCGTCTTCTAATTTAATTATACACATAGACAGCAGGTCGGTGTTCGTGTTGGGTACAGACACGACAACGTCTTGCTCGAAACAAATACGCTATAAAAGTAAAACTATCCCTGTAACAGGCCGTGGAGGCCCATAGGATTGTGAGATGTTGAGGTTCTCGCATTTTCTAGATAATGAACTCATGGATGGCGGCAAGGTTGTCAGCCTTACGCGCCGGCCGTCCTTTACCCCCAAGAATATTTCCTGAATATTCCTGGAACTCATTTCTTTTAGAGGGTGAGTCGACCCCAGGGCCATAGCGCGGCTGGAAGGATTAGGTCAATTGAAGAAATCCAATGACCTCATCGGGACTTGAACCCGCCACCTTCCGGCCTGTTGCATAGTGCCTCAACCAACTACGTTCTGCTTGCTCCATTTAGAAATGACTTCCGAATTTTATTTCTTATATAAGATAAGGGTAATTTTTCGTAACAAGTTTATTTTTTACGGTAAGGAGTTGTTAGCCCCACGCCCAACCGGAAGTTGTAGGACCACCCCTTGTCGGCTGTCCGCGACCGCTTGTTCAATATATTCGCAGCTACCCTCCATGCCTGGAAGGTGTCTCCACCATCCGCAACCTGAGGACGCGCCATGCCGTGGCATGTGGCTTGGATGGGTGCGAGGAGAAATGCATATAGGATATTGGTGGAAAAGCCGGAAGGAAGGAGACCACTGGAAAGACAATATTAAAATGGATCTTAGAGGTATAAAATGGGATGGTGTAAATTGGATTGTTCTGGCTTAGGATAGGGACCAGTGGAGGGCTCTTGTGAACACGGTAATGAATCTTCGGGTTCCATAAAATGCAAGGAAGTTCTTGAGTAAAAGTTGCACAATTGGCAGCTTCTCAAGAAGGGCTCAGCTCCATGAATGTGAGTGAGAGATATAAGGTAAAGCTATCCCTGTAACAGGCCGTCAAGGCCGGCAAGGTTGTGAGACGTCGAGGCTCCCACACTTTCTAGACAGTCGCCCCACAGATGGCGGTGAGGTTGGCAGCCTTACGCGCCGACCGCCCGTTAACCCCAGGAAGATTCCTGGTACTCATTTCTGTTAGAGGTTGAGTCGACCCCAGGGCCATAGTGCGGCTAGACGGATTAGGTAAATTCAAAAACCCAATGACCTCATCGGAAATCGAACCCGCGACCTTCCGGCTTGTAGCACAGTACCTCAACCAACTACGCTAGCGCCCCCCCCCCCCAATTTCTTATATATAATGCAGTTAAAATAATGTTATCCCAGTTCCCCGTGTGGAGGCGTGGTCGAATACCTCTACCGTGACCCTGCGAGTCGTAGGAGGCGACGAAAAGGAAAGTCTCAAATCTGAGACAGTAAACTATGGTCTCGAGTCCCAAGTGACTCAGACCCGAGAGATACTGCACTGGCAAGGTCCAGCAGCATATACAAAAGGCAAACCCGTCCTCTCGTCAGAGAGGGCGACCCACATAAACAAGACCGTAAATGCCAAACAGTAATAAATATCTGGTCATGAGCCCCAGATGGGGCTCGACGCCAAGACTTACTGACTGACTGACTGACCGACCGTCAGTCGCAATGTGACTTGGACTTGATGTCCCAGTGTTCAGTTAATCACAACACCATGAAGACATATGGGGAACTGGGGTATAACTCCACCCCTCTTAATTTTGGCACTCGAAATAAATCAGTGGTCACCTTCAGGTCCCTGTCGCTTTATTGACGAGGAAGGAGGACCCGGTACCCATTGGATGGGACATTGGGTCAGTCCTTTAGCCGGTCTGGACACTGTTGTGAAGGTAAATGGTAAAACTGTCCCTGTGAGCAATTAATTAAGCACCACACCTTGAAGCCGTATGGGGAGTGGAGGTATAGCTCCACCATCCTTGAACTCGACATTTAATTTAAGTGAGAGGTCAGTTTCACACTCCGCCTGCCTTACCCCAGGGAAAATTGCCCTGGAACCCATTTAATAAGGTGGGCACGCGGCAGCGCAGTTAGTTGAGGCATTATGCTAGAAGCCGGAAGGTCACGGATTCGATTCCAGAGAAGATCGTTGGATTTTTCAGCTGGCCTAATCTTTCCAGTCGCACTAAGACCCTGTGGGGTCGACTCAGCTTCTAACAGAAATGGGTACCAGGAATCTTCCTGGAGGTTAAGGACGGAGGGTGCATAGGCTGACAACCTCGCCACCATCTGTAAACCAATTGTCTAGAAAATGTGGGAGCCTGGACTTGTCACAACCCTATGGGTCTCTACGGCCCGTTACAGGGGTAGCGTTACCTTTTTCTTATCTTACCAATTTGACAGGAAGCTATGTGCGCACCACTGCTGGTCTGGATGCTGTGGAGTAGAAGAAAATCTCTGTCCTATCGACAATTGAACCCCTGCCGTCCAGCCCGTAGCCCATCTCTATACCGACTGAGCCCTGAGAAGATCTCTTCTCTGCCGGGAATGGAACATCAGATCTTCCGACCTCCAGCCCGTAGTGAATATGTTATACCGACTGAAGAGTTCTGGATTCTCTTATACAATTTCGATATAAATGAAATTGGATCAATGGACCACGTAACAAGCTATTTGGTTTAATTTCAATGATTTAAGCCAGAGGGAGAAAACTCGCTTTCTGTAGGAGCCACATTGGTCTATTTCGAAACGGCCGCGGACCGGAGGATGGTGAACTGACATCTTCGATCATTGGCACTTCCCAGCCCTACAGTGCAGGTATATACGAATTTCACCATTAACATCCATTTATGACCTGATAACTCCCAAAGTCTCTTCGGCCCTCTGAGGGTGGGCGAACAGCCACTGAACTGGTTCAGTAGTGGGCCGACACTGTCAGCAGCTCAGACTGCACGGCGTCGAATGGTGGTATGATTAATGAACTGGGAAGTATGTGGGAGCAAGTGGTCGTAACCTGTTTCAAGGTACTGTCGACTGATGGAGTAAGGAAAACCACGAAATCTCAGTCAGGAGAGACGGCGTCGCGGCCTAGATCCGACTGTAACTCGCTCCGAACGAAAGACCGAAGCTACACCACGTGAATCAAGCTTGGCTGCCTTCGTGCCCACTTGTCTGTACGCCTACAGTAAATTGAGATAGTAATTACTCGCCTTAGTGCAGAATATTATTTATCGTCTGTACGAGTACATGAGAGACTGGTGTAACACTCGTTGAGAATTCAAAACGATGTCTCATCGTTTGTTATACGAGTTTACATGCTATTAACTTCCCCTGCTTTCATCCGTGTTGCTTTCCGCACTGCATGTTATTGAACGATAAGTCGAGGCCGACATTTAACGTCATCTCTCACGAATAACACGCACTAATAGCAAATCGTAAACCTTCTCTTATATGTACTACATTTCATATTGAGAACATCAAAATGTTATCACCACTCACAGAATAGATATGATAAACCGAAACAAAAATTCATCGCCTAAGAATCAGTCACAGACAACGGTCCATCAGTCAGTCCCCACAATTGTCTGACCGGCAATAGGGTCCACACTATACAGGCCCAAGGGACACCAATGACTCTCATCTGGAGGGTAAAACCAGCCGAACACGAAAACGGCCATTCACTTTAGCCCATCTCCGATATCTGAGGAAGCGTTAACTTTACGTAACACGGGAAAAATATGTGCGCAATTTTATCCTTCCTATATCTAGTTTATATATACGAGTATATGTATAACTTGTAGATGTATGTAGAAAACATTTATTTAGGAGCTTTCAGTGGAAGGAAGGAATTAAACGACGCACTAATACATGTATTTTCAGATTCCAAAGACAAAACAACTCCGTCCAGTGTGACTATTTAAGTTTTTACTACTTGAAAACTTAGCACCCTTAACATGTTTCGGTCCTTACGGACCATCATCAGAGGGAACATCGATACTTATTTGGAAACTACTATCACAATGGGTGTTCTGAGTGCTAAAATACATACACACACAATGCCTGCAATGCACAGTATACACAATATCCAAATTTTCCACAACCACAGCAGCTTTCCTGGTATATTAAAGCTTTTAAATTTTTTAAAACTTTGTTGTTTAAGTTAAAATGTATAAAACAAATAGGTTCGTGTCCCTTCGCCTATCGTCTTTCTTGATGGGGGCTGAACTTGTGCCGCCTGTCAGTCTTGAGAAGGAGATTCTTGGTATCCTGTTCTGCACCAATTCAGCACATCACGAAGACATATGGGGAGTGAACGTATAGCTCCGTCACTCTTAACCTCGGCACTAGATTTAGGTGCATGGTTGGCTTCATACCCCTGCCCTCTACTTCCCGGGAAAAGACCACGATACCCATCGGATATAACTTTAATAGGCTTTGTTACTATTTATTTCCCTTGCCTTCGAGGGTTGGATATTACACAAGCCCGTTCCGATAATCAGAACATTTTATATTCATCTTTCCATCTCTCTCTGGGGTTTCTTACGTATATCTCTCCTGTGAGATTACAGAGGCATGCTAATTTGGCAAATCTATGTTGCATCTTGCATGTATGTACATGTTGACTATTAATTTATCACTTGCACTTCCCGTATTTCCTGTAGCATTTCTGCACGAATGAACGTATCATAACACAAACAAATGCTGACTGTACGGCCCGTACAGACCTCCCTGATCTAATTATTTTATGCTCTCTGGATCACGCAGCATATTCTCGTTGTATCGTGTATACTTTAGTGATCACTGGCGATCACTGGTATGTGGTGGACGGTGAGAGTGCTGTGCTTTGGTGCTGCTGTTATTCCGGTTTGCCTATGATCAGTTGCTGAAAGTGAGTGGTCATTAGTGGTTATTTGGTCGCCGGCTGTAATTTGAGTTTTGGAAGTAATAAACGTTGTGGTTGTTAAGGGTGTTAACTTCTTAGCTTTCCACCCTTTTATCCTAATTTTTACGTTTTGGGTGTCTTATGCAGCAGATTTAAGGACATTTTTTATAGAAAGGAACTTCAAAATAATTACAATGCCAGTTGTTAGCTCGCTATTTGGGAATGCTGGTTCTCGCGCCCAAAGCAAAAATCTTGTAGAATGCAAAGCGGGCAAAATGTCGTTGAAAGGTAAAATGGTTCACCCTGATAAAAGAAAAGGTTTATTGTATGTGTACCAGTCTGATGATTCACTTATGCATTTCTGCTGGAAAGATCGCCAAACCGGAACGGTTGAAGATGTAAGTAGGACGTACTGGTATATGGGTACTGTTGAGGAATTCCAAGCCCTAATTTCTTTTTAGGCAGGTGATAATTATTCATCTGGTAAAGAGCTTGTTTTTGTGCGGATTCATAAGGTTTATTACCGATTTCACAAAAGTGGATTGGATTGAGCTTGACAGTATCCTCTCCAGGTCAAAGCAATTCATGCTTACCACCCTACATCGCTAAGGTCCGTTTTAATATTACTGTTGCATGTACATATAGGTATTGAAAGTAGGCGCCTCATTTGAGGTTATTTGATCAAGCAATTTGTCTAAAATTTTCATCAAACTGTGGCAACAGTGCTGGAAGCATAATAGCAGCTTGGCCTTATGACAGCCAATGAACTTCAGTCTGGTAAAGTAAATTAAGTGATTAGCGTCAGTCTCTGAGCAGAATATCTAAAAGACTCAGACCTTCACTGAGTTGCTTTTAATGGTATTAATAATTTTTGCTGCAGTTATTCATAAGATCACGAGGGAATAGCTTCTGATGCCAAAGCTTTGGGGCAGTTAAAAACTGATTTGAAACAGAAATATTATTTGTTACATGCAGTAGTATTTTAACAACTCCAGTACGTTTTCCTATCATATTTGGAACACTGTTTCTTGCAGTTCCTTTGCAATTGCCTAGTTTAACTTATATCATCAAACTGTGCACTTTTCCAGTGCTGTGAATGTTTCTAATCTGGTTATGTTTCAAGGCACATTTAAGTAAAACAGGTAATCATTAAATCATTTTGCCGTACGTATTTGAAACTAAGTGTTTGCCACAGTTTCAAATATCAGTGCTGTCATGAAGTTTGATTGCAATATCAGTATCAGTACCAGACTGTACCCAATGCTCCACCAAGAATAAACTCACTTATCAACACTAAATGCCATGTTGTTTATTTCTTGCAGTTCACACTGCATTCTGCGCATGTGAGTTTCACCAGACTTGCACTAGTATTGTAGTGCATGAATTTATTAACATTCCTAGCACTGGGCTTGTGTTTAAAAAAACCGTTGGATGTAACATCATGTTGCCTGTAAAACTCAGTGGACGTTTTGGAGGCACATGTCGCCTCCATCTTCAGGGTTGAAGAATAAGCCAATTAAGAAACAAGCATGAAGCTAATAGCAAGCAGTGCTTGGGTTATTCTTCAGCCCTGAAGATTGAGGTGACATACTTCTGGTATGTCACTCAATTTCTAAAAGACTATGCAGCATCATGTCCCAGAACATAGAACTCTTTCATTGCATAGTAATCTGTTTGCTTTGTGTTCATAAAATTTATTGATTATGAAAATACTTGTATTGAATTAGTAACAAATATGTGTAATATTTCATATACAAAAGTATTTTAAAGGAATACAATTCTACTGTTCATACCATTGTTTAGAGTTCAATGCTTTTGTCCGTGGTTTTCTTTGGCTCCTCACCATCCTGTTAAATTGACTTAGGTGGGGGGGGACAACATTGTAGTCACCCAAAGCAATTTGATCATTTTTGGACCATTACCATACCTCAGTATTTGCGTCAGCTCTTTAAAGTGCCTCAGCCAAAATCCTCCAGACTGAGGTCATGTTGATGTCCATCAGCTCCACCCATGCAGTCGGAGATATTTAATCTGGCTCCAGTCAAGTAGGGTACTGGAGTAGAGTCTCTTTGATTTGGAGTATTGACAGCAGAGTACCCTATTTGCCCTCTGTTATTCACTCACAAAGATGCCTGAGCCCCCACTCCTACTCCCACCCTGACTCACAACTGATCATCATTTGAACCCTCAGTTTCATTGAGAAGAACATTTGTTTTCCTGACCACCTTCTGCTGGTCAGAACATTTGTTCTTGATGGTCAGGCTACTGACCTCTGTTAAGAGACCTCTTTCACTTTTTAACTTCATGGGTCCCTCACCAGAGCCCCTGAAAGGTGATGTTTGCTTCTTTTCAACAGCAGAAGGGCCAATGTTTGATGTAGGAGGAGAATCTTCTTCTTTCAGATAACTGGTTGCAAGGTGTGTATGACCACCCACTGCCACATATAGACAGGAACAGCTGAGCTTGCTGGTCCTGGTTGGGTCTGCTTCTTTGCTAGCCTCTCTGACTCTTGTTCTTGGTAGGCAGCTTACTCACCTCTGGTAAGAGACCTTATGTCCTTGCCCTCAGTAGAGCCAGAGTCCCTGAGAGATTTCCTGCTGCTTTACAACAGCAGAAGACCCAGCAACTGAGCCCTTAAGTGCAGGGAGAGAAGGCCCCTGCCCCAGGAACACTGATGGTGGGGATTACCTAGCTGTGCCCTGCCATGTGCACCAGGGAAAACAACCCCCACCACTAGTTTGAGCTAGAATCGTAACTGAGCTTGAGTGGAGCCCTCCTTTCATCCCAGGATGTCCTCCCCCTGTCCCATTTCTGCTTGCTTGTCTAGTTCTTCTTCTTGGTGGTATTATTCCTTTGGCAGCCCTTCTGGTAAATTGGACATGATGGATTGTGTCTAATAACAACATAACATTTAGAGCAGTGATAAGGCTGTGCCATAGCTTAAGCGGTTAGTTGCTGGCTTCCCATCACGGCAGCCGGGTTCGAATCCAGGTCTGGTCAAGTGGGATTTATGGTGGACAAAGTGGCGTTGGGGCAGGTTTTCTCTGAGTAATTCGGTTTCCCCTGCCAATCTTCATTCCACCAGTTGCTCCACAATCACCCTCACCTATCATCTGGGGCTGGTACAATAGGCCAGAAGTGGCTGCAGTACAAGGGACTTAGTCCCACCCCACTACCAATAAAAAAATAGTGCAGTGATAGATGATTAATAGCATACTGTTATGAAACTAAAAACAACCATAAAATATGTGGAGCTAAGGTAGGTATATTTTTTGTCACTCACAGCAATTAAAGTGATACTATTCAAAATCAACAGTCATAATCAATGTTGTGTAAAATGTACTGAATACATACCTAGACTACATGTTTTGTCTGTACCTCGTCATTCCCAGGTTCGTAGTCGCATTATGCATTTCGTACATAACTGACTAACTTCATGAAACTGAGCCATTCTTGAGAAGCTGCAAGTCACTCAACTGCTCAAGAATTTCCCAACATTCTATGGAACCCAAAGGTTCATTACCGTGTTTACAAGAGCTCTCCACTGGCCCCTATCCTGAGTTAGATAAATCTAGTCCATACCAACCTGCCCTATTTCTCTAAGATCCTTTTTAATATTATCCTTCCACCTACTTCTAGGTCTTTCTAGTGGCTTCATTCCTTCTGGCTTTCCCACCAAAATCATATGTGCTTCCCCCCCCCCCCCCACACCCATGCATGCTACATGCCCTGCCCATCCCATCATCTTTGACTTGATCGTTCTAATTATACTAGGCAAAGAGTACAAGCTATGAAGCTCATCATTATGGAGTTTTCTCTAACAGCGCTCATTGGCTCAAATATTGTTCTCAGCACCCTGTTCACAAACACCCTCAGTCTGTCTTCCTCCTTTAATGTCAGAGACCAAGTTTCATGCCCATACAAAACAAGCAAAATTGTAGTTTTGTATATTCTGATTTTTACGTTTTTAGACAAGAGACGAGAAGACAGAAGGTTCTGGAGAATGGTAGTGAATGGTAGCAAGCATTACCTGAGTCCAGTCTCTTAATTTCCACCAGAATCAAATTTTGATTTCTTACTGTCATTCCCAAATATTTTAACTGTTCCACATTTTCAAAGCATCTGTTAGCTACCCTTATGTTATGATTTTGCCCTGCATTCTGGTGACGAGACAGCAACATATACTTAGTTTTCTCTGCATTTGCTTTTAAACCAACCTCCTTACTATCATCAGCGAAGAGTTTCTGTGTTTTTCTTTATGTTATCTGTCGTGAAACAAGACCTCAAGGGGTGAATTCTATTGACGTGTATAGTCTCAAATGATGACAGCATAGTTAAATGAACAGAAATCGTTAATGTTTTTAGACATGAAATTAACAGCCGCTACAATCACAACAGTCACCACTGCCGTCACAACAGTCACCACTGCCGTCACAACAATCACCACCGCCTTCACAACAATCACCACCACCTTCACAACAATCACCACTGCTGTCACAACAGTCACCACTGCTGTCACAACAATCACCACTCTCTCCGCAACAGTCCCCTCTCTCATTCATGCCACAACCACTGCAGCCTCCACACTCGTCAGTGTTTCCTACTACAAAACAAGTGTTGCAAGTTGCAGTATCCAAGCCGTTTCCCTTGATTTTGGAAGAATGGACTATATGACTGACGTTAACACAGATATGAAATGTTTTTTTTTTGCATTGAAGAAAGGAATAAGAAAAACTTTTCCAGCGTCCTAAGCTGTCATTAAATTAAGGATTTTCTTTTGGTTGTAACTCATGTCACACTAACAGCTGCACTCTTTGTTGAAGTAATTTCTGAATGTGGGTGTGTAAACATACTATCAGTAATGGCAACTATGTCAGAGGAAATAGTGCACAGGTGCAGCAGCAGGAAAGCACATTACTGTGGGAATGTGACTGAATGCCGAGCCTTAAGTATTCATTATTATCTCTGAAGTTTAGGTGTGTTATCACAGTTTCCAGACTTCACACCACTTTGGCAGTAATTTTTTAATGGATTGTTGTATCTTTTTTTCAGCAGACGCAGCAGTGTATAGTTTGTTGTACAAGTAATGGTTAATATGCCATGGGATAATTCAAAACCATTGCTGTATTGAGCACCTAAATTTGGGTTTACGTAATAGGTATCGTTCGTACTTGGGCACAGGAACAGTGAACTAATATTTAATACACAGGGTGTCAGGGTTGATAGCATTGATAACAAAAAGTTAAGGTTTGGGTGTAAGGGTGTCAGGGTTGATAGCATTGATAACAAAAAGTTAAGGTTTGGGTGTACTGTGTGTGTATATGTCCATCGACTTGTGTGTTTCAGTGTACAAATGAGTATGCTGTATGTTCTACATTTGTTCCCAGGAACAACCTTGTGTTTACCTTGTAATACTAGAAGTCATTCTCTTTATAGGAGTATGTGATAGTATAGTTCATTGAAGCACTATGCTACAAGCTGGAAGGTTGCAGGTGCAATTCCTGATGAGGTCATTGGATTTTTCAGTTGACCTAATCCTTCGAGCCCTGTGGCCGACCCAGCCTCTAACAGAAATGAGTACCAGGAATCTTCCTGGGGGGTAAATGGCGGCTGGCACGTGAGGTTGAGAATCTCATTGCCATCTGTGAGCTGACCTAGTAGAAAATGTGGGAACCTAGAAGTCTTACAGCCCTATAGGCCTTCATGGCCTGTTACAGGCATAGCTTTACCTTTTTACCATTCTTGTTATACCATTTACGTTTCCATTACAGAGCAGATAAATTGTATACTCCATCTGTTAGGGGAGTGGGTGTGTCACCATCAGTTAGTAATTTAGACTGTTATCTCACTATTGGAAAATTTCTGGATTCAGTGTTCAACATACATCCAGTGTTTATACCTGGTGGGAAATTAAGATATTCTTACACAGAACCCTTCTTTGTAAGGTTGCTTGTACATGGTGTGATGTACCCTGGTTCACAGAGTAGATGGACTTGAGAACCACCGAGTTTGTTTCTGCTGCTGGCATATTAGTCATCTACTCTAAGGATGAGACGTGATGAACGTAGAGCTTGTAGGCAATTTTTGATGGCCTGTTGCAGCTGTAGACAAGACATGAGCATGTCATTCAAGATGTTTTTTATTTTCAGGACCTTATTATCTTCCCTGATGACTGTGAATTTAAACGAGTGGCTCAGTGCACCACTGGGCGTGTTTACGTCCTGAAATTTAAGTCATCAAGCAGGAAATTCTTCTTTTGGATTCAGGTATTGAAATTATAATTCTAACTCAGAATGCTTGCCAGTAATAAGGCCAGACATGGATAAACATTTAAATTCCGTTTGATGTAATAGGAACCAAAGACGGATAAGGATGACGAGAACTGCCGCCGTATTAATGAAGTGCTTAACAATCCTCCAACTCCGGGATCTCAGAGAAGTGGAGGTGGAACTCCAGGTATTTGCAGTTTACATTTAACAAATATCTTTGTGGTTTCTGTGGTGAGGTCAGAATATGTCGTACAGAATGAAAAGCAATTGAATTCTTGCTTAAGTATTGTAGATGGAATAGTTCATTATGAAAGCTACTGTCATACTGTCGCTGTGACATGCAGGTTGTCACCCAGGAAGATGATAGTTGTACTTGTATAAGTGCTGTATTTTTTTTAATTCGCATAGTGCGGGGTGAAGTAAGTGCTGTACTTTCCATGATATTGTTAAATCAGTCATAAGAGGTGTGTACAATGTAATGGTCAGGCTGTCCACCAGATGTAATGATAATGGTTCTGTTGTGGCTCACTTTCCACTCTGTGTCCTGTATAAATGTGCAGGTCCATTTGACAGGAATAGTTATCTCCTTTTCTTACGAGTGGTTTCCTGTGGAAAACCATGTTGTATTTTAAAAAATGCTGTGATTCGTAGTTCTTAGGGTAAGGTAAAGTTGTCCCCGTTCTAATTAATTAAGCACTATGTCATGAAGACATATGGGGGAGTTGAGGTATAAGTTTGCCATTCTTGACCTTGGCACTAGATGGAGGTGAATTGTCAGCTTCATGCTTGGCCGCTTTACCCTGGGAAGATAGGCCATGGGACCCATTGGATAGGAGGCTGGGTGGGCTCCAGAGCCAGTCTGGATACTGTAGAGAAGAGAAAAATGCTTGCCATGCTGGGAATCGAACCTGGGCCAATGCAGCCCATAGCCTGTCACTGTACTGACTGAGCTATCCTGACTTCTTGTTTTGGGGTATAGTTTGTGAATATCTAGCTCTGTTTAATCCAGTCCCTTATGTAGTGTTATCATTAAATTGTGATAATCCTGTGTTTTAAACTTTGGGTTCATAAAAGTATCAAACACTACACTTTCCTTGCTAAAAGACCAGATGTGTTCTGTGAACATTGTTATAGCTTGATGTCCACCAGAGGACTATTTATTCAGAGACGAATCTTGTGAACAGGGAGTCATTGGGGGGAGGGGGAGATGCATTATGTGAATCCCGACTTCAGTACTTTTACCTTAGGCAGTGATTTCATAACAGTGATCCAGCATGCATGGAAAACCTGTGCCACTGATCCAGAATCAGTTGCCTTGTAGTTCCAAGAGACACAAGCACATGCTCCTTCTCTGTCACTGTCTCAGACATCAGAAACATGTTTACAAGATGTGTTTTTAGATGACAGTTTATGTTAATACTAAAGAAATAATCAAAATTAGCCCTCCCTGAACTCATGCTAGATGGTTTGGTGACTGTATGGGTGGATGAGGGAAGGGAGTTGGATTAGTTGAAAAAATGCATGGCATTGAATTTTGCACTTATGGTCATTGAATCTGGTGGTGAAGTTGCAGTGGTGGTATTTGGTGGATCTGTTGGCTGTGACCTCCAAAAATCATCCATCTTTAGTAGCTTTCCAGCCTCATATTCCTCATACAATGGCAGATGCACAGAAGAGGCTGTGGAGCAGGGTCATCCTGCCTTTGCCACTTGGATTCCTGCATTGCCTCCCACACAACACTACCCCTTCTCCTTGCTGCTCACCATTACTCAGGAAGCAGTACAAATTACAGAGAGTGCCAGTGATTGAAATTGGTCTGTCTAAATAAGTTGGAACAGATTAAAATGATGACAATTTTTTTTTTGGAGCCTAGATAGTCCAGTTAGTATAGTGACTGACTGTGGGCTCGACGATTGAGGGGTTGGGGTTCAAGTGCCAGTAGGGTCAAGAATTTTCTCCATGTTGTCCAGACCGGTTCTGGGGCCCACCCAGCCTCCTTTCCAATGGGTACTGGGTACTGTTTCCCCACAAGTAAACAAGTGGGGCCTGAAGCTGACCACTCACTTCCAACTAGTGCCAAGGCCAAGAAACATGGATCTCTACATCCACTCCCCCATATATCTTAATGGGGTAGTGCTTAATTAGTTAAGCACAGGAACAACTTTATTTTTACTTTACAGCATTTTTTATGAAGCCTCAAGAAGTGAGTTACCTGTACTTATATGTTGGATCTGAGGTTCCAAAGCTTGCTGCTTTCTTATTGCTGGTTTAATGTGTGGCTTATGCTTCAGTGCTGAAGGCGGAAATGCGATGTGTTCTTCTGAAATGTCAGTGGACATTTTCCGAACTACATGATGTAGTTCCCAGAAGAATGTACTCTTCATATTATTTATTATTTATACAGTAAGACTACAAATTAATTTATACCTCTGTGTTCTAATGGATCAGTCTGAAGCAGACAACTTTTAGTATTTTTTTATTTTTCTGTATTAAATTTTATCCAACTCTGCAGAGTGATTTGGAATATGAAGTGGGCAGAGACTGACTGAAGACCTTCATTTTACATGTGTACAGAATTGCAGCTGGAATTGTAAAGCATTTGCACTCTGATTCTTGGCAGTGGATGTACCGATATTGAGACTGGTACATTTGTGTGATACTTCACTGTGTGTTTTTCAGATGCAGATCTTCACAGTTTATTGAACAATATGTCTCAGCAGCAGCTGATGCAGTTGTTTGGCGGTGTAGGGCAGATTGGAGGACTGTCCAGCTTATTGGAAGCTGGTCACATACGTTTACGGTATAAAAGTTGTATCCTACAACCCAGAGATATTTCTATGTATGGTGTTGCATTAAGTGAACAGAAAATCTATTGCCAATAAGAAATGCATCTCAGTGCCTAAAGACGAAGCAGAAATTTATCTCGTGTGTTCTGAAATGGTCACTATGATTCTGCTGTCATTTAAACCCCTCGACACAAAATCAGTTGCTTTCCACACTTTCTCTAAGTTTGTTGTCCTCAGTGTGTTACCCTAAGGGCCCCCCATACACACACAGTTTGGCCTCCTGTTCGGCCTGCACAGTTGAAGACTGAAAGGCAAAACTGATGTGTATGGTGCGGCCGGCCGGCCGGCCGGCCAATTGTTTGGACTGTTGGCCTGTAGGAAACCCGCCAGTCCGTCAGTTCTGCCTGCAGGACGTAGCACATGACGTGTGTGACTCAGCAATATAGGCCGGAAGCCTGCCGGTTTATCTGTGCGTGTATGGGGAAGGAAAGGGAGAGGGAAAACTTTGAAAGTTTTGCCTGTAAGGTTGATCGGAAGCCCAAACTGTGTGTGTATGGGGGGCCTAAAGAATGCTGCAGCTGAATGCAGACTGCATATAACAATAGCCTGCCAGTTAATCTTTAATGTGTTTAGTCTGTATGTGTTTGCATTGGGCTTAGTAGTGTAGCGTATTTGAGGAATTTATGTTGTAAGTAGTGTAATGTCTCTTGAACTTTCTGCAGTAAATCTGGAATAATAAGCAGTGTAACAGATCCTTCTCTTTCACAAACTCATTGTAGTGGCTGAACAATTATGGTATGATTCGTGATGGAGATAGGGAATTTCCACTTTCACTACTGCATCCAAGCAGCCAGACTCTGGGGCCCATTTAGCATTCTCTCCAATAGGTGTCAGGGCACATCCCAAGAATAAAGTGGCATGAGAGCAAAGCTGACCTCACACCTCCATCTACTTCTAGGGTTAAGAATGCTTGGAGCTATGCAACAATTTGTATGTTTTCATGATGTGGTCTTTAAAGTAAGCATAGGGACAAGTTTACCTTTCAGCACAAATTCACAAAACTGATGTTATTTCTCATACATGCCTCCCATCTCCTTGTAGCTCATTGAAATGACTTCATCACCCCTACCAGTGGTGGTGCCAAGTGTGGAAATGATAATTTCCATCAGCACCATTGTTTGTTAGCATAAAATACCATAGGAAGTAAAGCTATTCCTGTAACAGATTGTGGAGGCCCATAAGGTTGTGAGATGTCGAGGCGCCCACGTTTTTCTAGACAGTCGAATTACAAATGGCGGGGAGGTCAGCCTTACATGCTGGCAACCCCCCCCCCAGGAAGATTCATGGTACTCATTTCTGTTAGAGGCTGAGTCGACCCCAGGGTATAAAATACCATAAGCACTTAAAGTTGTTTATTAAGGTTTATAAACCAGAAATAGGGCTTTAGTAAAGTACTAATTAATTTTTACTGTTCAAGAATATGAATTGTAAATCTCCTGGAGCTACAGGATTGCTGGTCATCTATAAAGTCAATGGTAGCAGTCTATAATCCTGGAATGGGGAATTTTAGACCTGCCACTTCTGCATATCTGGCAGCCATATTTAAACGTGATGTTGCCAGTATTAGTATTGAATAAATGCGGTGCTCTGTCAGCTGGACTGATCTCATGTGCCAAACCCAGTGTGCTAGAGGTTGATTGTCAGGATACTTGTTCTGCATCCAAGTGCAGCAAGTGATGAGTGTGTTAGTTGCTGTTGCTGTGTTGGCAGTTGTTTGAATGTTTGATGGATTTTGATTGATATGGTGGACCTATCATCCAGTAGGTTGCCCAGCTTTGAACCGGGGATCCATTTTCAGGTTTCTATATGTAAACCATTCAAATTACTGCGTTGTGTGTCCATTATGTTCGAGTCCCACCTGTGTAATAAAATTGTGGCCCTGTTAAATAAAAAAAAAATTAACTGCTGCATCTTCTTCTGTGTCCTTTGTCCAGACTACCAAATTTCACCAAGGCCAAATAGTAAGTAATACAATATGGCAAAAGAATGTTATTCTTTTGAAACACACTTCTAGGATGTAGTTGTTTCCTCTGATGCTAGATGGTGCATGTAGCTACTTTTTGCAGTTCTTTCAATAGATGTAGATCATTTGGTATCAATTCACTCCCAGTGAAATGGTACAGACTCTTAGTGTACTGTGAGAAGTGTTTGGACTGGGAGGTAAGCCCTAGCAGAGTAGATGGGTGTGAAGTTGTTAATTGAAATCTCATCCTGTGCTGAGCCCAAATGTAATGTGTGTTTCTGAGCATGTAAGCTCAGGCTTGTACAGACTTTATGATGAGCAGAAATTTGATAGTGAAGGACTGGTTTTGTTTGATTGACATGAATTATTTTCAGTCGCCCATCAACAGGGCAGAGTTCTCGCAATGCATCCTCTACTCCATCTTCTACATCCATTACTTCAGCTTCCACAACAAGTTCTACGACTGCCAGTGTTGCCTCGCCTGCCAGCACGGCCGCTAGTGTGACCACTACTGCTAGCTCCACCACCACCGCCACTGCCACTGCCACTGCCACAAGCGGAAGCACAGGAAAGGGAGCCGATAGTGAAGCGGCCAAGCCTGCTGCTGCTGCTGCTGTTAAGCCAGGTCAGACTGTTAATATGAATAAACTAGTGCCTTGTTTCTGCTTTCAATTTGAAGAGTCCCAAGTTCAAATCTTGGCCTAGAGAATGGCTACCCTGAATGAGAATTTTGTCGTTTTTCTCAGTCCTACCAAGCAAATGTTGGGGTAGTACCTTATTTCAGTCATGAGGCTGACTTCCATGTCTATTCAAGCTAATTCTTCCCTGAGCATTCTACCAATCAATGCTATATAATCCTGGCAGTTGAAAACATAATTCAGTAAAATAAAAATAAATAAAAGGACAAATTTTTATGTAGAAGATTTTTAATAATTATAAAAGGTAAAGTTATGGAGGAGTGGAGGTGAAGATCCACATTTTAACCTCAACACTAGATGCAGGTGAGTTGGCCAGCTTCGCATACCAAACCAGTGGGAGGAAGCCCTGGTACTCATTGAACAATAGACTGGATAGGTCCCAGGGCCAGTGTGAACACTGTGAACAAGAGAAAATTCTGTTACCTGTGCCAGAAATCAGCACAATCCATTGGGCATCCAGCCGATAACCTAGTCACTACTGGCAGCTACTCCAGTTGTCTTTGATGATTGTATGGTAGCATGAAGGTCTATTGCTGGGTAACAACCGTGAAATGTACCCCAAAACATATGCTGCTTGACAAAATGCATAATAAGCAAGCATTCACAGCTGTACTGGGTAACGTTTTCGCAAAAAAACGTTCCCAGGGAAAGGATTGGAGTACAACAATAAACAGTGTTTTCTATGCAGTCCATGCCAAGGGGACAAGTTTAGAAGTTAGTCAGTTGTAAGGGAGTTTGTGAAGAGAAGACTTAGTTGGTGTAGTTGAGAATGGAAGGTGAGAAATTTCAATCCTTAAGATCCATTACTGGGAAATGACTAGTAACAATAGAACAAAAAGACCTAGTGTGTGCTGTAGTGATTTGTAAGGTGTGGAGATTAGCAGTAGTGTTATAGTTACGATCTGTAAGTGGTCAATAAATGCAGTCTCTGATCCAAAACCCCGTTGATAGTTACTCATATGCATGGCAGTATGAAGCACCAACTCTGATCTAAGAAACTGACTTTAACTGCAGGGCTGCAGCTGTCTGTTGGATATGAGCATGAGCCATATTAATGTTGTTCGCATCCCCCATGGCTGTTTGTCTGAGATCATTTTTAATATTATCCTCAGTGCCCTATTTTTTGAGAGGTTCTCAGTGTATTCTGTATGATAGTGTCTTGTCTAAATGGAGATATGTTGACTGCCCACAGGTCGTGTGCAGATATATTGTAGTCCAGTTGTTACAGGCACCACTTGCATTGAGCATCATTTGCACAAGGTCCTTCAAATGAACAAAAGATATGGGAGATCTTGTGTTCATCTGTCTATATAAATTTTGCCTTCAAAGCTACAGAATGGATTTAACAAACTTTGGTATTGGGAGGGTCTTTTCTATAAGTTGTTCAATGAATTTAATTTTGGTCTGTATTAGTCAAATGTGAGACCTTTACACGTAACTAAATCAGACCTTTACCATTTGTTTCCAGAATGGCTTGGGTACAGAAAATTTTTATTACATAAGATAGCAGCACAGCTAATTAAAATCTTATAACTTTCATTTGAAAATATTTTGGTATGATGAATGTGCAGTAAAATGTGAAGAAAAGTAATTCTTGGTTCTGTACTATGTGAATGGTTCTACAGAATCTGATGCATGTCTGCAGCCCAACTGAGCACCGTGTTGGTGCTTGTTTCTTTCTTCCACACTTGCTGAAGTTAATACAGTAATGAAGTGAGGATTGTTATGACTACATGATAAATATATCATTGCAAGTAATTGATTGACAATTGAAGTAAGTTTCATTGAGAAGCTACTTAAAGGTANACCGTCTTACAGTGCATACATTTATTCACCTTACTCTTCTCTCTTGCACTACATGTTTCAGCACAAAAGTGCCATCTTCAGGTGCTTTTCGATGTACGTCAAACTACTTCATTGCATGCTCTGTTGTCTTTATACTAAAATATATATTCGTCATATATATTGATAAATTTTAAATATTAAAAATATTAAAACTGTTCAGGTTTTGTCATCCTTATGTCGTATCTCAATACGTGAGTCACACCTATCTTCTTCTATCAGAGTATTCTTCCTGCTTTCGTGTGTGTATTGTGCTCTGTGTTGTGTCTTGCTCCTGTGACTGCGTGTGTTATACTCTATACGCGTATTGAGATACGACATAAGGATGACAAATCCTGAACAGTTTTAATATTTTTAATATTTAAAATTTATCAATATATATGACGAATATATATTTTAGTATAAAGACAACAGAGCATGCAATGAAGTAGTTTGACGTACATCGAAAAGCACCTGAAGATGGCACTTTTGTGCTGAAACATGTAGTGCAAGAGAGAAGAGTAAGGTGAATAAATGTATGCACTGTAAGACGGTTAGAATAAATCATGAACTACAAGCAGTTATAACCGTTTCACTTATTCACACACTTTACAATCACTATAGCATGTACTGAGTCTTCTCAGTCTGCTGTATCTTCAACAGTTGTTGTCTGGTAACGACTTCCAGCTGCAGAAGTTCTCCTTACTCTGGGTTCCCAAACTATCCCCCCTGCCTCAGCTACCAGTTTCTCACCGCAGCAGCCCACAACGACTGAACTGCCGTTCTCATCTGACTGCTTTGACAACCAGCTTGCTCCTCTCCACTCCACTGAACTGCACTGCACTCTAATCTCAACTTGGTCAGTTGAGCGATGTAGCCTCAGAGTGGACTGCATAGATAAATGCTTCCAACAGTATGAGTGTGAGTGTGAGTATGAGGGGTGGGCCATAAAATCCGACAATCGCACCATGACCTTCAGTGATCTATCGTGCTTCCCCTTTGGATTAGTCCTTTATTAATCCTACACTTTTAATGAAGTGTAGGAACCGGCTTATGGGGGTGTCATAAAAGTCACTTGGTTCCATGAAGAACTGACCCAGATGGCGATATCTTAACACTTTGCACACTGGCAATTTAAATATTTAAATCACCCTGGGGACCGGCATTTTTAAACCTGCTACCCTGACTTGTGCACTGTTCACTTTAAAAATTAATATAAAATCTCCTAATTAATTTTATGAACTAAAATTTTTGGAGAACACCAGTGCTTCTAGAAGTGCTTGAGAGTGTGATATTTCTGGAAACTTTCCCCTTTGTGAAGTGGCAATACACAGAACTTGCAATGTAGACAGTCATACTCCTTTTTTTGTGAACTGTGCAAACATGGCATTGCCTAGAAGGATGCTTCACCCTGGAATATTCAATCATCACAATTTTCATGAGGGTATGTTTCTGCATATCACCCAAGAGTTGTCCAGGGGTGTCCACATGAGGCCTGCGTGGGGTGGGAGTTGTTGGGCCTGGTTGCGCTAAGTCTGTGCCTGACTGCTGCCACCATCTTGTCTGTAGCCCAGGCATTTGCCACGTTCATCAGAAATGCTTTGTATTTCAATTTCGAATCAGGGTTTAGATTTTTGTAAACCAAAAATGAATTGAAAAGGCACAATTTATAAGCCACAAGGCAACTTTCTTTGTCCACTTTACTTATTTTCCGAGGAGCAGAATAATAGGCCAAGTACTGATTAGCTCTATCAACTCCCTTCATGAACATATTATACTCGGAAATACAAACAGGCTTCTTTACCTGTCCATGTCTCCTTTGAACATCAATCATGCTTGAATTGTGAATTGTGGAAATCATATTCACAACACGAGTATCCCTCCAGGACTGAAGAAGAATATCCCCCTTCCTCCTGAATGTGGTTTTACCACGTTTCAGGGATTTAGATTCCTCTTTCAGAACTGGAGGAAGGCCTCTGCTCACCCTAATTGTTCCACAAATATGTACTTTTCTCTCGAAAGAAGGTATTCTGCAGTTACCACACTGCTATAATAATTGTCTTGATAGACATGGTAATTTTGATCAAGATAGGGTTCCAAAACGGAAACAATAGTTTCTTGTAATTTTTTGCCTTCACCAGAATAAATTTGTAAATTTCCAATATAGCCTGAAGTGCTTTCAGTAACTACATGAACAAGTAGGCCATACTTTGTAAGTTTCCCAGGATTATATATTCTCATACGAAGCCTTCCCCTCCAAGGAATCACAGATTCGTCCAAAGACAATTGTTGGTTTGGCTTATAAACTATCTGAAATTTCTGAACGAAAAAGTTTAATAAGGGCTGAATTTTGAAAAGCCTGCTTGTTGTTTGTGTTTGCAGTTCATTATTATTGAAATGCAAACACCATCAAATTTGTTCAGATCTCTTATGGCTCATTAGCTTGCCAAAAATGGAAATTTCTAAAAATGGATCTGTTGACCAATACCCTTTTAGATTATCCGTCCTTGTATGCCCCATTAGAAGGGCTGAGTATGTATAAGGTGCAGTCAAATGAGAGTGGGTCACCACACATAACTCACACGGCATGCAAGTTGGTAACACTGGAATTTGCTTATGATATGAACATCTGGTGGGGACTCGGGAAAGCACAATGACAATGTGCCCTTGTACACTAGTCATTTGTTTATTGTTCTGGAAGTAAGGTTAGCGCTATGTGTGGTTGTCCAACATCAGTAATGGAGGCGGATATAGAAGCACAGTGAAGTGTAGTGCGCTTTTTGACTGCTGAAGGAGCAGGAGGATGAGCAATTCATTGTCACATGTCTGTTGTTTACGGTGAACACAGCATGTCACATTCGCGTGTGCTGGCGTGCCATAAGAGATTGTGAGAGGGACGTGTGTCACTGCAAGATGATGTTCTCCCAGGACAGGCTCATCGTGTCATCACTCCTGATGTTATTGCTGCATTGGATGGTCATATCTGGGCAAAGCGATGGATCGCTGTGGAAGAAATTAGTCTTTTGATGGGAATAAGTCAAGGTTCCATACACACCATTGTGACAAAACACCTGCTGTACTGCAAAATCTGTGCGCAGTGGGTTCCACATCAACTCATGGAGGAACAGAAGACTCAGAGAATGGCTGCATCACTGGATCACTTGCAACGATACCATGAGGAAGAGTATGTTTTTCTGTCCCGGATTGCCACTGGGGAAAAAACTTGGTGCCACCATTTTGAACCCGAGAGCAAACAGCAAACATGTGAATTCTCCCCCACCGAAGAAATCTAAAGCCGTAGACGCAAGTTCAGGTAAAGCAATGATGACATTCTTCTTTGCTTCGACTGCAAGGGCCCTCTACTTGTCGAATTTCTTGAGCATTGGGCCACAGTCAGCGCACAGTTCTGTGAAGACACTTTGCAGAAACTGAGATGTGCCATAAAGTCAAAATGCCCTGGAATGCTATCAAACAGCATTATCCTTCATGATAATGCATGCCCCCACACTGCCAACTCTGTGAGGAATACGCTACAGAGATTTGGTTGGGAAGTGCTTCAACATCCCCCGTACAGCCCAGATCTCTCCCCATGTGATTTTCACATTTTTGGAGACCTGAAGAGAGACATTCTTGGACATCGGTTTGCATCGGATGAAGACATGTGTGGCTGGGTAAAGATGTGGTTCCATAGACAGCCCACAAGCTTTTTCAAGGGTGGAATTGCCTGTCTTATCTCCCAGTGGGATAAATGTACTAACAGTTTTGGAAATTACTTTTGAGGTAAGAACTGTTCTTTAACCCTTCAGCGTGGTTTGCCGTACACGGTATGCTGGTATTTAAATGGTCCTACCTGCGGTTTGCCGTACACCGTACGCCAAGCTGTAAACTTAATTTCGAAGGCCCATAAATATGGAACGAACCATGCCAGCATGATGACGATTGCACTGGGCTGTTGTGAAAAGAATGCGCTCTCTGTTCATATAAACATAACATTAAATTTCCTGCACCTCTGCCAGTCAGTCTAAATAGAACGTTGACCTCACAGTTGCGATGGCCGAGTGACTATGATATCGACATACCACAAAGATGATATGCGTGTGGTTGTGAATTAAGCAAACAAGAAACAAAGCCCTTGGTTGTTTGTGATTACAACAGAAACATGCTAGGAGTGGATCTGACGGATCAAATGCTACAGCCATATCTACTTGAACGAAAGAAGAGTACTAAGTGGTATCAGAAGTTATTCAAGAGACTACTCAATGTAGCAATACATAACGCAATGGTCATATATCGGTGTCTCCCGAATAACAAAAACATGGGCACGCTAAAGTTCAGAATTTCACTAGCACAAGGCCTTGTGGAAAATCACAGTTTTGGTTTTCCTCATCCTGTATACGGCCGTCCGTCAGTTGAGCCACCGCCTAAAAGATTCACAGAACGATATTTCCTGGAGCGTATTCCAGCCAGAGGAAAAATGCAAAGCCTCAAAAAAAGATGTGTGGTGTGCGCAAAACATGGTAAAAGGAAAAAAAAAATATTTCTGGTGTAGTGGGTGTGAGGCAGGGTTGTGTTTAGATGGATGTTTCAAGAAATACCATATGAAACTCAACTTCTAATCCACTTGCTTCCATCGCTCAGATACAGGGTGCTCATATTATAAGGAAAGATTATAAAACCATCTTTTAAGATAATTTCAGTGAAAAATTCATAATTATACCCTATATAGTTCAAAAGTTATGATACATAATATAATTTATAATTTAGGCCCCACAACAGCGATATTTAAATGCCCACGCTGAAGGGTTAATTATTTTGGCTTCTGACCCGTTTTCATTTGACTGCCTCTCATAATATGCATACAGCACTTATGAATGTTAGGAGCAAATTGGCATAACCTGGACTCTATTGGTTTCTGTAGGTTCGACTACAATTCAGTTAAGTGATCTCCAGAACTTTCTGTCGGGCTTGAATGTTCCTGCAGGTGAAACTACTAACCAGCGATCAGGTATGGATGCAGTTTTTTGCTATTACTGATTATTACAAACTCACTGTTTGTATTATTACAGCAGCTGGTTAGGAGGTGATGATTTGAAGTACTTTGATATATGTGCCAAGTGGATGAAAGATTTAATGATTTGGCATTTGTTTTTTTATGGATGTGAAATGTGATTGCATTCTTTAGGGGAAAGAACATGAATTGCAAGTGTCTGAAACAGTGTGCTGGAAAGTACTGGGCACAAGCTGGAAAATAAGCGAGCAGTTTAGGATATTACATAACAGAGAATTCTTTGATTACTACTGTTGGGTTAGAGAAATATTGGAGACAGAATATTATTCTGGTAAGGAAATCTGTTGGAAGAGATCCACTTGGAAAATTGAGATGTAGAGGGCAAGATAATGTTAAGATAAAGTAAGATAAATTTTATCCCTGCTATGAGGGCACATGGGGGAATGGAGGTGTAGGTCCACCATTCCTAACCTTGGCTCTAGATGGAAGTGAGTGGCCAGCTTCATGCCAAGATATATCTTAGAAAGTTATATTGTGAGGATTAGAGGTGGATGGATCTGGTTTGGGATCATGTTCACTGGTGGATTTTGGTGTTGATGGTTGATGAAGCTCCAGTTTCTGTTACTGTAGTGTCAGAGAATGAGGGAAAAGCATGTTTGTGAGATGTGGGAGCGATTAGCTTCATGCTGTCATGAAAGGAAGTTCATTCTAAACAAATTAAGTTATGAATTAAAGAGTTTAATATAACCTGGATTTTAAAATAACTGAACATTGTTGTAAATGGACAGAAGTGTCAGGTACCAGTCATTTTGGTTTGCAGTTGATTTGTCCTCTGCATTAACAACTGAGAATCTGCAAGCTGTGCTGGGGGATCCTAATTTAGTGCGTGAACTGCAGCAGCATCTACCATCAGGCATTGGTGGAAATCCACCTCCTCCAGCATCCGAACAGTTACGCTCAACCCTAGCATCACCCCAGTTTCAACAGGTAATCAGAGTCAGTCCATTTGCACTGTGTCCCTTTGTCTTGCATTTGGTAGATGTTAAGAATAAAAGACAGTTGATCATTTTGGATCTGAGGTTCTTATAGTGGTCTCTTTCAAGAGTACTGTCTTCTGAGCTATGACACTATTTAGTTTTGTGGAAGATCATATTCTTCATAGGCACTTCGTGAAAACCTGAAATTCATCCATAGTCACGTCTAATTGTATGTATACATATTGTAACATGTTATTGATTAGCCTTGGGGTTTGGATTATTAATTGGATTTATTGAATGTCTTGTAACTACAAACAATTGTAACAGTTTCACTGGTCTACACACACTGTAAATATCTGTGGCATACTCTGTCTGTTATGTCTTCACTAGTCATTACTTGGTAATGTCTTCTAACATTGGAGGTTCCACTGCTTCCATTCTCATGGCTCACCAGCAACTGCAGCCTCCAGCTGACTGGCTTGTCATTTGGTCAAGTTAAATTGGTACTGGCCTTTACCAGCACAGTCATTCCTGGCTTCAGTCTCCTTGAGATCCATGACCAAGATTTTTATTCTCTCCTAAACATGTATGTGTTTCAAAATGGGGCATACTCTTGTGTGAAGGAGGGGTCAGTCTTTCTATGCAGGCCCTAAATTTGTAGCATATAATTTCAGCACTAGTATATCCGCGCTCTCACAGTGTCAAGGTCACTATGGACTCTGTGCACCCTTTGTTGTTGCACTGTACTAAGTAACATTTATACAAGATATACCGTATTTACGCATGTATAGGCCGCACATTTTTTGCCAAAAATTCAAGAGGAAAACTGGGGTGCGGCTTATATTCGAAATATTCGAAATCACACTTAATTAAAAAAAATAGTCATGATTAGTAATACAGGGTGTTCTACTCCTGAAATAATATTCCAAGAAAATTATTTTTTCTATAATTTCTGTCTGAAAATTGTGCTGCAGCCTATACACGCACGCGGCCTATACATGCGTAAATACGGTATAGAGATTTTCTGTCAATGCAGTGCTGTGAAGCATGTTATGTCTTATGTAACTACTCAGGAACTGCAGTTAGTCACATGCCTAGTTATAAAACCTTGGCACGGACCATGTAGAAGGCACTGCTTCCAGTGATTGCGTGTATATTCATTGGCATGGACACATGTTTACCATGCCATTTCCTAGCAGTGGTCAGATGTCATTCCCGTATTCTGGCTTTCAGCCATCATGTCACAGTATTATTTTTAATTTTAATCTTAACCCTACAAGAGCAGGCTTCAATTTTTACACTAGAGAATTCAGGTTTGACAAGAATGTAGATCTTCTCTGTAAATTTCAGCATGCATAGCCTTATCTTACAATTTTTTGAGGAGACTGAATTGTACTCTATTTTAATATTTACATTCTGATGACCATGAACCTTGAAAATGAAACATGTTATCATTTTAATTCTTGATAAGATTTTGAATACAGGATGAACTCATGATGCTTCCCAGCTCCAAAGAAGGGAACTTGGGGTAAAGGCTGCAATGGAAGGAGAAGGGGGGAAGGAGGCTGCTTGATATGCTGTGTGTGACAGTTGTGTGTTGTCTATCCTGAGCTGCACACTGGGTTTGCATGCACAACTTGTTACAGATTGCTGTGGGACAGTATAAACTCTTTGCACAGGTGACTTTCATCCATAATATTTTAAATTTTTGGCTGAAACTTTTGTAGATGTTTGACTTGTGTACTGTGCAGGCTCTGAGTATGTTCAGTGCAGCCTTACAGTCAGGCCAGCTTGGTCCTGTGGTCCAGCAGTTCGAAGTCGGAGCTGAGGCTGTGGATGCTGCGAACCAGGGCAACATGGAGGAGTTTGTAAAGGCTCTTCAAAAAGCAAGCATCAACAAGGAAGATGAAGACAAGCAACCCGGTGGAGACGAGAAATGCAAGAAGAAGGATGAGCGCAGTAAAAAGGGTGATGATGCAGATGATGATGATGATGAAGTTATGTCACTTGATTAATATGTTGTTTGAGGGGAAAGGTGGTTTATTTTGTTTGATTTATTATTGTTTTATGTGTTACTGTTCCTGGAGAGGCGACTGGTACTGAATGATAATTCATTGTCCATTTGGTGGTAACTGACTGTTATCTTTCAGATTGTTACCTGATTTGCTTGAATGTAAGATCACATTTATTAACCGATTTGAATGTGTATTACAGGCAGATTCTTTAGGTGAATTGAAGTAAAGCATAAAATTATTAATATACATATTGCTAAACTGCTCTCTTGTAGGACATTACTTCAATTCTCTAATTTTGAAGAGAAATTTGGACAGGGGAGGAACTAGTTTGTATTCCTATCGACTTCCTCCATCCTTGATTGCTGCTTGTCACATGGAAAGAAGGTAATAAAAGTCAAGACAGTGGGCACAATTACAATGAGTTACAGGGGATATGTATTGAAAGAAGAATTAAAATGTAGGCAACAAATGAGGCCCACCCATGCACACACACCCAGATGTGAGAGATGGGGGGCCAGAGAGAGAAGGTGAGACCACCGCCATGTGGTTACAGCTGTGATCCTGGTGTAGCTCCTCATTTGTACAGCCAGCAAACTAACATGGCCTGGGGCCAGTAGAGAATTCGGATGAAATTATAAACACAGGAGTGGCCAAAGCCACTCGGTTAAGTGAGATAACTAAGCGAATATCCCAGAGGTGATTCCTACAGTAAAATTGAAACCATATTTAGAATCTCCTCAACCAATCACAGATTAGGAAACAGGACTCTCATTCTGGGCTCCAAACCTCTACCCACGCCAGGCCAGAGCAGCTCTCATTTGCTCTGCTCAAGCCCATGTCATGAACTCCCACCCTGTGCAATGCAGACATACCAACAGGAGTGACAAGGAAAGCTTGTGGGTTGGAGAAGTAGGGATAAGGAACAAAGTAAATGGGGAGGCAGGGTACTGGGAGACTTGTGAAAATACAAATCCTGCACTGCTGTGCAGCTCACTGATCTGTAATTGCATAATTCTGGCGAGAATGTTGACCACATTACCCTCATTTTATGTTATGTTTTCATACATATCTCTGTAGTCTTTTGTAATAATCTCCCCTGTCCACTTCTTCAAAATTATCATTTATAGTGTGATTTGAATCAGTGACCCCTCACATGTAACATGCCTGAATGAGAACTGTATTGGTGTTTATCCAACTGCAGATCACTGCAGCAAACTGCTGTGATTTCATTAGTAGCCTGGATGATGTGCCTCTACTGATAAAAAGCATATTCTTGAATATATTATAATATTGGAGAGACTTTATGTTTCATCTGTATTGGCAGGTTTTTAAAATGAAAAATCTGTGCATGTACTTCATTTTGTCCAGTCTTGTATTGGTGTCTCAGAAGTCGTGCATTGTAGATGTTAAGTGATGTACACAAATGACTTGCAATAAATGCTCAAATTGATGTCATCCAGCCTGTATGCATTTCCTGAACCATTGCAAGTGTCAGAGTTGGACTCTGTATAGTATTGCAGTGTTGATATTGTCACATTCTGATATTCTTACATCCTTCAGCTTCGGTTTCCCCTGCCAATCTTCATTCCACCAGTTGCCCCACAATCACCCTCACCTATCATCTGGGGCTGGTACAATAGGCCATAAGTGGCTGCAGTACAAGGGACTTAGTCCCACCCCACTAGCAGTAAAAAAAAAAACAGCTTGGTGTCTGCATCCTGTAACCTGCAGGTGGAGGTGTTATGTTCCTCCAAAACAAGTAGCCACCCTATGGACTAGTACGTATCATGAACGAAAACACCAAAACTTGAGAATGTATACAATATGATTATTTCCCTTCAGTATCCTTATACAGGGTGTCCCAGGAGGAATGGACCAAACTTCGGGAGGGTGTTCCTTATGTTAAAGTATGCCGATATAACCCAAAACACCTATGTCCAAAGTTGAACGGTTACGGAGATAATGGCCAGAGAAGTGTCAAACTTTGACCGGCGTTGCACACTTGTTGATTACAAAATACATATTAAAACTGGCAGGAATATGTGGATTCTGTAATGTTAATAATGTACGTAACATCAAACTAACTTGTGAGTGACATGAAGCCATAAAATTGAAGTACAAAATACTCGCTCGCCATGTCATAATTGTCCTTAGGGTTTCCAAGCACTATACATGACACATGAATGGCAAGCGCTGACGTAACGTGCTGACTGCGCGTTCTGATAAAGCCAACTACATAAGTACGGCTAGGGTGAATCTCGGCACTCAAGGACAAACATAGATAAAGCCTCTCAGCTGAATGGTATAGTCCGTAGACCCGCTAGAAGACCACACTTTTCTCGGGCCATTATCTCCGTAACCGTTCAACTTTGGACATAGGTGTTTTGGGTTATATCGGCATACTTTAACATAAGGAACACCCTCCCGAAGTTTAGTCCATTCCTCCTGGGACACCCTGTATATGTATATATGTGCAAGTTTTCCAAGGGTGGGTGAAAGTGGAGTAATCATGGAATTTCAGGTTACCAGAGCAATGAACTGCTGAGCATTAACATGTTGCAGAAGCATACCTTATTTAGTAGAACATAAATGAGTGAGCAGTCTTTTGTGTTTCCGTGTATTGTGTCTGTTCTATGAGTACTGATAATTTTGATGTGGAATTGTGAAGTGCAGTTAGTATTTATCATGCGATGTGATTTAGTTTACAAAGATTAGGAAGTTTGTTTTCCTTATAAACAGTTACATAGAAGATGTCTATATAGACCAGCTTAGTAAAATTGTGTCAATAGCTGTAGTCTGAAACCAAAATGATAAACCAAGCGGACACTTGATAGGTCTGTGTAGGTAATGTGATGGGAGTTTGTCTATATGACTACTTGAATTCAGATCTCCATGAACAGCACTGAGTACACTCTATATATGGTTTGTTAATTTCAGATATATTCAGTTACAAAATAATAAAAAATTTCTGTGGTATGAATATATGTCCAGTGTCGTTAGTCTCTTCAATAATAGACCTTACTAGGAAATAAGAGGGAATAAATAAGATTTTACTTGAAATTCCACTGGGAAATGTATTTTTACAAAATGGCACTACCATTATTTCAGTTTATCAAGGTAAAAACGGTAAAGTTATCTGTTTAATAGGCTGTGGAGGCCTATAGGATTGTGAGGTGTCGAGGCTCCCACTTTTCTAGACAATTGGTTCACAAATGGCGGTGAGGTCAGCCGTATTTGCTGACCACCCTTTACCCCCAGGAAGATTCCTGGTACTCATTTCTGTTAGAGGCTGAGCCAACCCCAGAGCCAAAGTGTGGCCGGTCAATTGAAAAATCCAGTATCCTTATCAGGAATCGAAACCGTGACCTTCCAACTTGTAGCACAGTGCCTTAATCGACTACATTACCACGGGACCCCTCAATTTGTCAAGACTGTTAATTTCTTCACTGATATACTTCATGTTATTAGTTCTTGAGCATAAAATTCCTTTATTAATGCAGTGTGTAGAATCAGTTACAGATATATTCTTTTGTGACATTTTCCAATTAGTAATGCAGTACTGATAAGTTGTTTTTCAATAACAGTGATGTTACAGCCTGTTTTAGAATAGCAATGTTATTATAGTTTAAATATGCATGAATCACATTGCCCTTTATTGTAACAAACCTCTAACCTTAACTATAATTCCACTTGAAATTATATTTTAATTTCTTTTAGTTGGAGTGGATTTTTCTGGTGTCAGGAGTCCCATATTACTATTTTCAGTTTACCATTGATTTCAGTGGGGAATGTCTAATTTTATGAAATATACATTTAATCAAAAATGCTTCAGACAAGTATTCTACATCTTCATTTCACATACCAGCTTCTCTTATGACATGTTACTTAACTGTGCAAGTTAACTTCAGCTGTAGTGCTTCTGGATTGCATTCAATAGCCACCTGGTCTGAATTTTGGCCCAGACACCAGACTATCCTTAGGTTTTTAAGGTTCTTTTTTGCAGTGCTTCCATGAGAATCCTTGGACAGTACTTTACACTGGGGTGCAACAACTTGCTTCACATTCTTTCCCATTAATTATTCACCTTCATTCAACACTGTATGATCTTAGTTGCTGACAGTGTCATTATATAAACTGCAAACAGGTGAGTTTCTTGTAAGCGGATGCATAAATATCAGTTTGAGCTGTGGATAGAGTAGGCTTTTCATTGCATAATAGACCAAAATGAAATTGACTGTAACTTATGTTATAGGCCAAAAATATGAAATCTGAAGGAAGTATATTGAACATATTCTAGTCTGATAATATATCCATCAAAAGAATTCTTGAAAAGTTACAGCTGGCACTGAAAACTTTGGATTGGACTGGCATGAAATCAAAGCCAGGTTTTTCTGCTGTAATTGAGAAATATTCAGATTTCGATTTCAAAACATGTTTACTCTTATGATGAATCCTTTGTTTGTGCAGGCATCAGAACTTTAATTCGTAAATTTACCCAAGCAATGTATACAAGTCATGTGTGGTGAGCAGTAAGCACAAGGATTTTGGTGTAAAAAATTGCCACTATGAAGGCCTAGACATAGGGGAGAAGGATAAAATTAACGTGTCAAACAATTACTAGGGGGTGGATAGGTGAACTGGACTCATCTGGCTCAGGACAGAGAGACAGTGGCGGGTTTTTTTTTAAAGTAATGAACCATTCGCTCCACAAGATGTTCAGAAATTCTTGAGTGGTTGAATGACTGTTGGCTTCTCAATAAAGACTTAGCTAAGCAGAGTTAGAAAGTATAAAATCTTCATTGTTTTTTGTACATGACTTTAATATGGAAGTAAATGTGTTTGTTGGCCGTGCTAGTGCTACACATTTTATCCGTGCTGTTATGTACATTAGAAGAAAAGTAAAAATATTTTTACATGCAACAGCAATCGCCTGCAATGGAATTACCACACACATGGAAAGGATGGATAATTTAGATCGTAGAGTATCACTCATAAAAAGTAAATCAAAAGGTGCGTGATGTTGCCCATATTTAATCCCCTTCCATAATCTCACTCTGGACATAAGCACAAAGTTGTTCATTATGCGTCATTATTTTTTCTTTAAATTAACGTCTCTGCATCTCTCGATGTGTGTTGTGTATCCATAGGGGAGTTTGTATTTATTAAGTTTTCAGTTTGAGTGCATCTTACACACAAAAGTAGGTATTCAGAAAGTAAACTGTGTCAATATAAAATGGTATAGCCGCTGATAATTCTGTATTGACGTCATAATAACACGTGTTATAAGTAATAAACCCCTCAAATGGCGGGAACCAATAGCGTGCAAGGATATGATAGATGGTTTCAGCCAAACAGAATTCGCGTGTTGGAAGGTGCAGGAAAGCACAGGTGCTTGTAGGAAAGATGGTATGTGCGGTACAAAGGAAAACACTGACGTTTTGACCGGTTTTCGGATTTGACAGCCTGTGTGAAGTGGTGTATCGTTAATTTGGTGTGTTATTAATAGAGGGGGACAGTTGTTCCTGAGTGTCATGAAATGGTGGCTTGTTGTTCGTGTACTTTTACAGTACATGGATATCAGTGTTACTAACGTCATATTTTTAAAGTAACATCAGCTGACTTGTGAAATGGCATTTAATAAAGCAAGAGGTGTTGGTCATCAGTCGCATAATATGAGTGTGGTCGCGACGCTGTTGAGTTCTTCGTAAACATTAAAGCAAACACCGACAGTTGATAAGAGGGAAAGCTAGTATCGATTTAGGGGACTTGGACCGAGGAAAACACTGCTGCCATGCTTTCCGGTGTGGAAGAGAAAGGTGGCTACCAATCGAAGTTAAAGAGCTTGGCATAAACTACGAACATAAATACGCATTCCCACCATGTTTTTAATTTTGTTAGTATCTTCATATTTGAATGCACCTGGAAAAGTGTCCCCAGCTTCCATAGAACACATTTAATTGCAGTGGAAAAGCGTAAGTAGTTTACTAGTTGTGTTTATGTTACCTTCATGGTATGTTTGTGATGGGCTTGTTTTGTAGAAAATAAACACGACCTTGAATGTTACCAATGTCGCCGTAGCGTAGGTCAAGTTCTTTTTTTGTTCGTGCAGCTTTCACCATTGCGAATATCAGTGGCAAGGGTCATATAAAATGTTCGTTTCACAGCGTGTACCATTAACAATGCAGTTTAATCCCACTATTGCATTGAAGGTGAGTACATAATGGAAACCACCCGCTATAGCTGCACCTGTGCTGGATCGCATACCATGCGGCATCCAGTTGACGTTAATAGGTTCGTAATATAAACTTTGCATGCAGTATTAGTATGTGTAAAATTTGCCTATGAACATGGTAGGAGCTAACGGAAATAATGTAGATAATGTGAACGGGCGGACGTGTAGTACAATATGCAAGTAGACCATGTATGCACGTCATGTTTGTTTAGTATTGTTTGTATTTGCAGAAGCAAAACACAACTGGATGCATAAAGAGGTAGTCCATGCTTGTTAAGAAATCATATACCATATTGAAAAACGCGATGGAATCACGTATCGTGGAATTATTCTAACATGAAAATGACGACAAATGTAGACACTGAATAATTATGAACTTCCAAGTTAAAGGACTTTGAATAACTTGTTGGATAAACATCTTCACTGTATTAGAACTAGATAACAGTAGTTTTAGGGTGACAAGTAATAATTCTTTCAGGAATTCATTAGGAAGTAGACATCCATTAGAAGTCGCAATGTAGTGTCTGCAATTTGGAAATTTAAAATTTATTTCTAAGCTTGTGAATTTGAATAAACACTTGTGCAGAATCATGATGGATGAGAAACCCAGAAATTCATATAGAGGTATGCGTAAGAGCTCTGAGATCTGATCTCTTCCATGTGAATATGTATTTTCATTACTGAACTTCATTGTAAGTAATCAAGAACGTCTACAGACAAATATAGCTGTATACAATGTTAACACAAACGTCAACCTCATAGACTACTTGGCAACCTCTTCATGTTTTGAGAAAAGTGCTTGCTATTCTGGCATTTTCAATAATCTGTCATCTGGTTTAAAAAATGTTACAAGTGAGAAAGCACAATTTAATTTAGCACTGTAAAGATACATAAATACACACATTTTACTCTGTTGATGAATACCTGTTATCTAAAAATGACTGGTAATCTGTTCGAATGTTCGTATAAATAGCATAAGTTGTCTGTAGTGGTATATGTGTGTGGATATGTTTGAAGCATTTGAATACTTTGTACGACCCCTCTTTTGTATTTCTTATGTGAAAGCTTCATTTGTGCTGTACATATATGTTTTGTTTTTTTACGACTTATTTCACATCTTACTGTAATTTTTGGCTAACTTTGGAATCCATGGAATGTAAAGTATGTGTGTGTCTTTGTGTGCATACAGATTGGAAACAGAAGACTGAAAAGGGGATCTCATTCTGTGAGGATGAATATTAATTATGATTGTTAATATTTTGAAAACTTGGAAAACAAAGCAGTGAAATCGTGGAAGACAGCATGTTGTTTTCTGCAGTTTAAATTGAAAAGAACATTTTCCCTTCCCCCATATATGCATTGAGAACAAAAGATGGATTAAATACATGCCTTCTCAGTGTTAGCTTTCACCTACCTGGAGGTCTTGAAAACGGTTTTGCAGCTCTAGTTATAATTTTTTGCAAGTAACAAATCAGAATTTGATTCAGGAGGAAATTAAGAGGAGATTGAATTTGGCTTACTACCATTTAGTCCAGAACATTTTGTTTTCTCATGTGCTGCCTAAAAACATAAAAATTAGAATGTACAAAACCATAATTTTGCCTGTGGTTCTGTGAAACTTGGTCTCTGACATTATGGGAGGACCATAGACTGAGGGTGTTCGAGAACAGGGTGTTGAGGAGAGTATTTGGACCGAAGAGAGATGAAGTGACAGGAGGTTGGAGAAAACTGTATAATGAGGAGCTTCATAACTTGTACTCTTCTCCAAGTATAATTAGAATGATCAAGTCAAGGAGGATGAGGTGGGCAGGGCATGTAGCACGAATGGGGGAGAAAAGGAATGCATATACAGTAGGATATTGGTGGGAAAGCCAGAAGGAAAGAGACAACTGGGAACACCAAGGCGTAGGTGGGTGGACAATATTAAAATGGATCTTAGAGAGATAGGATGGGATGGTATGGATTGGATTGGTCTGGCTCAGGATAGGGACTGGTGGAGGGCCCTTGTGAACACGGTAATGAACCTTTGGGTTCCATAAAGTGCTGGGAAGCTTTTGAGTAGCTGCACAACTGGCAGTTTCTCAAGAAGGGCTTAGCTTCATGAAATTAGTTATGTTTGCAATGCTATACCGAATTTGAGGTTATGTCAACTGTAGACTAGGAGAGTGGCACATTATTTCATTACCATGTATGCAGTAAAACTTCCCAGACCTGGGAGTGCTGCAGGGAATCACACATACTTCCTTGCTCTGCAAGATAATCACATTCGTCATAGTATGCAGCTGATGACAAATTTATACTGTACAGTCATATTTTTAATATTTTGAGTGTTATGCTTGCGACCGCGTCTTTGATCTACTGGTCAGCGTTCCTGGCTACAGATTGAGAGGTCCGGGTTCGTTTCCCCGGCGCTATCAATTTTTTTTTTCGGAGAAGTAGTGGGTCTGGAACGGGTTCCACTCAGCCTCGTGATGATAATTGAGGAGCTATTGCAAGGAAATAGCGGCTCCGGTCTAGAAAACCGAAATTAACGGCCATGGGGATTCGTTGCGCTGACCACGCGACACCCTCTGTCCGCAAAAAGTTGGCACTAAACTTCGCCGACAAGCGGCGGTCACTCGGTCGGTATTGTTTACTTGCGGACTGAAATCACGGAGTTGTTATGCCTGTTCTTCCAACTGAAGTTGTGGCTGTAATGAGGCTTGGCACGGTTTTCTTTCTTATTGTCCCTCGTGTTGGTTTCAAGTGGTTTGTCACACATGCTTTATATCAGGGTAGTTCTAGTTTCAAAACTCAAGACTGCTTATCCAGAGTGATACGTTTTTTAGTTTTCTTAGTCCCACTAAGTAATTTCTGGGATAAAATAGGCCATAGTTGCTTCTTTCTCCATCTGTTACAATCCATCATTCACAACCACTGTACCGTTTGAGTCAAATTTTCTAGTTTGTTGTTTCACGACAGTGGTATGGCATTGGTTGATTGATGAATGATGAGTTAGAAAGGATTTGGAAGGAAATGGCCATAACCTAATTGAAGTACTGTCTGCAAGACTTAGGAAATCGTGAAGAACCTCAGTCAAAATGGCCAGTGACCCAGCTGAGATTTGAAGAAAGTACCTTGAAATACAAGTCTCACTTAAGTACTAGAACAGTATGTTTTGTCGCGGATATTGTGGCTTCATATGTGGAGTAGATGTGATTTTCATGTTTTTTTATTACCTTCGGCAGATATTGGGATGATACTTAAGTAGAAGGAGCCGGAATAGCATATTCGGTATAGCAACTGGCTACGGGCTGGACGACCAAGGGGTCAGAGTTCAAGTCCCGGTGGGGGTAAGAATTTTCACGTCATCCGGGCCGGCTCTGGGGCCCACCTAACCTCCTATCCAGTGGGTACCGCGGTCTTTCCCCTGGGGTAAAGCGGCCACTGCGTGAGGCTGACAACTCACCTCCAACTATTGCTGAGGTCAAGGAAATGTGGATCTATACATCCACTCCCCCATACGCCTTCATGGCATAGTGCTTAATTAGTTAAGCACATGGACAACTTTACCTTTACCTTTTTCTTTAAAGTGATTTCATCTGATTTAATAGCCAGCATGCTCTCTGCTTGCAGCATAGAGAAGTTACTTATAGTTGATGCAGGCATTCCAAGTGCCTTCCAGGTCTCATGCAGTGGTCCGAAAGTTTCGGATAGCCACCTTGTTTTAGCGTGGCGTTTGGGAGGGAATAGCCTCAAGAGCATATAAATTCTCTGCTCTGGCAGCTAGTATTATGTGTACTTTGAATAGGTTTATTTACATCAGCTTATTGGAGAAGACATTTGAGAAGGTCAGTGGTCAGTGATGCCTTGATTATAAGGTTGTCACATTTGGGAGTTCACTTCGCACCCATTGAGTAGCTGTAATAAAAATCTCGTTCATAAGGTGAAAGATGGAATTTGTGGTCTTCGGATATGAATCGGTGTTTTGCTACTGTCAGCAAAATTGTTGCCTTTGTTCCTGATTTAATATACTTTTCATAATTAATAGTATGATTAAAAACACATGGGTCAGTATTTTTTGCATCCACTGGCAGCAAGTCAGACTGAAACTACGTACTTTTAGATCGTACATGATACATTTGAAATGTAAAATTGTGCAATCAGGCAATGCAGCAGCATTCCTGGAGCCAACTTGTAGTTGAGCATCAGTGTCATACATCGTAGCCAGAACAGCATGCTTTTGTTTTCCTTTCTTCCAGCATAGAACCTGTTGCGGTACACTTTGATTTTTGTTGTTTTGTATGTTTTTGTTTTATACGACACTGTTCATACAGTAATGTTTTCTTTGAAAATTGAAATGACATTTTCTGTGACTTAGTTAAGTTAGTTAGTTATTGGAGAGGGTGGGTTTCCCCATGCACTTAGATCAGTATTGGTCCATTGTGCTTCCCTCTATGATATTCTACCAGTCTCTATACCCTACCGATATTGGTGCGTACCATCAGTCCCGACCGAGCCAGCGAGTTCGGCCTGTACTGGCTTGGCGGTATGGTTTCCCCCATCTGTCAGAGGCGTTAGAGACTACTGTTGGGCGGGAAACGTCCTGAATTTGGCTCAGTGACCTCCTTTGGAGATATGAGGTTCTTTTACGTGCCGTAAAGCTACGACACGGGACCCACGGCTTAAAGTCCCTCCCGGAGGACTTGTTCCCTGAATTTTTCCGCCCTTAAAAATTCGACGACCTCCGCCGGGTTTGAA